GGGGCGGGAAAGCGGGGGGGAGTGGATGGTTTTTTGAATGGGTTTGAAAGGGAAACCAAGAGGAAACCAAAGATTTGCTGGGGTTCCTCCAACAGTATATTATGTTTGTGGCTGGACTAGATATGGAAGAGTGGTTTTCTGTGTCGGATGTGGATGGGGTCCAACCAGATTTTGTCAAAGTCTTTATCTCAAGTTATTTTGCAGGGCTCCTTAAAAGATACATTTTGCAATCATTTGAAACATGTTGCTTTTTCAACACCAAAATACAGGGAAACCGTAGCATTTACAAGTTGCAATGGTCAGGTGTATATAAGGATCCCTGTTTTGGCGTGACGTTTAAAGGGGACCATGCGGACGGGACAGGAGTCCCGAGGAAGGCCAGCGGCTCAAGCGCGCCATGGGTCCATGTCTTGAGTCCAGGCGCGAAGCGATCGAGGGCTGCAGAAACGCAGCAAGACCTCAAATCCTGAGGTCTCGTGAGCTCTAAGGAGGGGGAAGCCAGTTTGTTTCTTTGTTCCGAGTGCACGTTGGATGTAAGTAAGTCAGTTGGTTGGTTCCGAGTGCTCGTCGGATGCATGTGGATACGTTTGATCGCGCAGGACGACGCTCATTGACCCCGTGTGCTTCCTTGTGCTGAAGATCCTTGTGCAAGGCGACGGGCTTGGCGCGTTTGCAATTCCGAGAGTTGGGAGCTGCGGGGGTCAGTGTAAGCGCAAGTCGACCCAATGGCAGACTCGTCATGGTTCATAGTGGGGAATTCATTCGTGTTCCGGTGATTCCAAATAGTATGGGTCCTCCAGATTGATCCGACATTCATGGGAACCCAGTTGACCTCTCTATAGCTTGTGTTACCCAGTGCTTCCGATCACCATAGAAGGCAAGAAGCTATGTTGCGTCTCTACTTGCAGGTTTTAATTCCATGGTGTCCTGCCGGCTTACTGTAGTGGAGCGCCTAGTGTTTGTGTTTACCCCGATCGAGTATCCTTTGCTCGGGGCGGGAAAAAAACGTCATGGAACGGCTGACCAAGGTGACCTTCGAAAGATGCACTGACATCACCGTCACATGGGTCAAGAGAAACCACCCCAAGCGATTTCCTCCATGGCTAAGTAGCGCTGCTTAAAAGATCTCCACTTTGCAACCAGTTGAAACATGTGGCTTTTTCAACACCAAATTACCAGGGAAACCCGTACCATTTACAAGTTGCAATGTTCAGGTGTATAATGTAAGGATCCCTGTTATAACCAGGGTTGTAGGCCATCCAATCCTTCTCCCTCTCATGACCACTGGGCAAGGTGATCTGCAAACGCCAGAAGGTCGATCGGCCCTCGGCCCTCGCGGATGTGAGGCCACGAGCTCCAGCAGGTGAGGCACGACACGGGCATGGACCCGCCTCTCGGATTTACAGCACCGGGAGGAAGCGGTGGCAGGGGTTTCCGGTTCGGTTGGAAGAAGTTCGGTTCGGGAGCTAAGTAGATATGGGGGTGCGGTGGGCTGTTGTTTTTCTTGGTGTCTTTTGTCTTGTTTTTTCCCCAGCAGCTGAAAGCTTTGGGGTCTCAGCCCAGATAGGCTCCGGGGTGGTCCGGGGCGGCCCTGAGGTAAGGCTCCACGAGGGTTCCACCAGGGTTCCACCACAGTTCCACCAGGTTCTGCGAGGGCTGCGGGGTGGTCAGTGGTTTGAGGTGAGGTAAGGTTCCACGAGGGTTCCACCAGGGTTCCACCACAGTTCCACCAGGTTCTGCAAGGGCTGCGGGGTGGTCCGGGTTGGTTTGGGGTAAGGTTCCATGATGGAGCCACCAGGGTTCCACCAGGGTTCCACCAGGGTTCCACCAGGTTCTGCGAGGTAAGGTTCCATCAGGGTTGTACCAGGCTTCCACCACAGTTCCACCAGGGTTCCACGAGGTTCTGCGAGGGCTGCGGGGTGGTCTGGTTTGAGGTAAGGTTCCATCAGGGTTCCATGAGGGTTCGACCAGGGTTCCACCAGGGTTCCACAAGGTTCTGCGAGCGGGATGGTCCGGGAATTCCACAAGAATTCCACAAGGCTCCACAAGGTTTCACAAGGGTTCCACAAATGTTCTTTGCGTCGTGCGCCAGCCGTCTGAAAAGCCATCGGAGCAGCAAATTGAGGGCTCAGAAAATCGCTCTGCTCACGGGCGGAACGCTAACCAAAACCGAAATCAATGGCTTTCAGCACACTTTCACTGCTTTGACTTGCTCACTTGCTCAGACAACGCGGCCAAAATGTTGGCTTTGTGGCAAACCAGATCACGTTGCTGCGGGACTCACTGTGCAGCAGAGTAAACGCTTGGCATTGCTGAGTATTACTTGGTGGGCTTTGGGTTCCAAGGCAAGGCTGCGAGGGCTATGGGGTAAGGTTCCAAAAACGCTGCACGAGGTTTCCCCAGGTTCTGCAAAAGCTATGAGGAAAGGTTCCAGCAAAGTTTCGCGCTGAGTTCCACAGGTGTTCCATGTTGGAGCCCGATTGCACCGTCGGCGCCCGACCCGGCAAGGTCGGGACCTGATCAGACCCCCGTCAACTGTACCAAGCTGGTGTCACCTAGTTTTGCTAGATACGATTGCAAGGCTTGCCCCGTCGGGCCCCGATCGGGCCCTGATTGCGCCGTCGGGCCCCGATCAGGGCGCGATTGCGCTGTCACTCTTAGCTTTGTGTTATAAAGTTACAAGGCGGCATCCTCAGCAAAACCGGCGGCGAGGTGGGTTGCGGGGCGGGTTCCGCGAGGATTCTGGGAGGGTGTGGTGCCGTTGGGGATATCGCCTGAGCTTATTGTTACTTGTTGCAGGGTTGCTTTCAATGAGAGTCAAAGGGAAAGCGCAGATTTTGGACAACAGATTCTGGAGGATCCACCAGCTTGAGACACAGCCTTTTTTCTTGAAAGGTGACTTGACACATCACACGGATGTACCCTCCTTGTTTGGAGGGCTGGAACACGCAAAGGAAACCAACGGTTTGGAACTCGCCCTTTGTTTGGTGGCCAGCTTAGACGGATTATCGGATCTTCCTCAGAACATTGAAGGAACCCTGATAGTTTTTCCAGTCGCAAGCTGAATCTTGTCCAAGTGCCGGGAGGGGTACTACCTACTAGCTTAGACCGTGATTACTTATGATATTCCTCTACCATGCACGAATAATGAGCTGCAAGCCGATTGCCGCTTCTTGTTCTGGAAAGCTGTGCGTTGGTTGCCCGTTGGGTTGACCGAGCTAGCTTGCTTGACAGTTTCGCATCGGTGGCACTGCTCTGAGACTCTTGCTTAGTTTGTACGTGTAGGTTGTACATATTGGTTTGCTTTGGTTACCACAAGGGCAACTGGAAGCACTGCTAGCACGCAAGTGGTTCTTATATTCTCTGCAGCGTTGCAGAGAGCCTGAAACCTTGGCAAAGGGATTCGTCTAACATTGCGGCAAAGGGAGGCCATGGAAAATACCTCTACCTCCTTTTTTCTCCTGTTTAGTGCTTCAGCGGAAAACATGGAAGGGAATGCGGTCTCAATTGTCAATGTGCTGGATATTTTGCACCGCGCTCTTGAGCCAAATCTCATGTCATGATTGGGAGGTGTTTTCCATCTGACAACAGACTTCAGATGGAGTAGCTGTGACCTTTACCACCCTCCCAAAATGACGATTTCCAACCAGCATGCAGTGCACCCCAGTAACCCATTTAGGGAAGGGCCCAGGGAGGCCATGGCATAATATGAGGTCGTTTAAGGTCGGGAGGGGGGGGCGGGAAGGGGCGTTTGGAACGGTCCATCTCCTTCCAGTCTTTCCTTTTCCTTTTCCTCTATCACCTGTGTTCACGAGAGAAGCGAGTACACAGGAAGGAAAAGGAATTTGACACCTTCTATCACCCTAGGATCCACGACTTCCAGGTGATAGGTGTCTCTTGTCTCATTCTATCCTTTCCTTCTTTATCCGTTTCCCAATCTAGATAATTAATAGGAAACAGATAGGAAAGGAAGGAATGAAGAAGTAGACAGATGCATCCCAACATGAGATAGCCCCTTCCGGACCTCTAGGATGGAAATCGCCATCAAGTACTTTGTGATGACGGAGCTCTTCGTCTGCAACTTTGTCTGCCGCTGCTTCTTCTGGGAGGAGTCCAATCTTGAACCTTGGCCTTTGAGAAGTTTATTCCGTGCCTTTGGGAAGACGAATTGGGACGTTGACGTCAGTTGGTCGCCCTATGGAAAGGAAAAGAAGTACAAGACAGGCAATCTGCGAAGGACTGTGGTTGCCCTCAAGTTGTATTTGTGCCTGCTGGTGCTCAGCAGGGAATGAGAAATGGAATGACTCCTATTAACCTGGTTGTGTCCTTGAAGGGAATGCCCAGGTTCATTCCCTCATTCCCTACCTATCGCACCAGCAAGTGTGTTGATGTGTTGGTTTGAAAGCTTGACTTTCATTTTCAGAGGTGCTCAGAGCGACTTCCCAGCCCCATGCATCCAGTTGCCAAGGCAGGTATCCTGCAGATTTACTTCTAGAGGTGACATGATCCCCAGCTTGCCCGGATGCAAGATACCTCAGTCCAGCGGATTCCAGGCCTTTCTCCGACCGTTTCTGGGGAAGGGATTCCCTTTTTCCGCAACCAGCGTTTGGGAAGTAATGTCAATCTGGGATTAAGCAAGAGCGTTCGGGATGGGATTCGTTTCTGCTTGGAAACACATTTAGTGTTCCGTGATATAGGGGTTGATTCTCCATTCTTTTCAACTATCGTTCTTTCCAAAAACCGGCCGTTCTCCCTGGGTTTCCGGAGATTTGCTAGAAACACTCGGATACGTGGAAATAATGTAGAACCATGCACCATCCCAACTCACTCTCGGAATCTGAGAACCAGCAAGCTCCTTTCCAAAGCGACCCAAAACGATCGATCCATCCCAGCTCGAAGCACATTTATTGTCCCGTGTAATGTCAAGCTTTGCGCGTTCCATCGCCGAAGAGTCGAGTTGGGTCGAGTTGAGTCGCCGAGGACATGCAGGATCTGGAAGGCGACGCGGCATGGCGAGTGCTTGGAGTGACCTCTGCGCATTTGGAACACATATTTGTTGATCCCCATGAGTGCAAAGTTGTTTTGGCCAGTTGGTGTCCCTTTAACAAGTTGTTGACAAGGCCATCCAAAAAGGATTTCCTCAAACAAGACAGAAATGAGACCCTGTGTGTAAAGATGTCCGCCAAAGTGTCCATAATTGAAAGTCACACCGAGTTGTTCAGTGGATGCCACATGATGCCACCACATGTTCAATCCTTTTTTGTTGGTGGGTTCCGGACTAAAACGATTTCGAGCCCGTTTTTAGGGTTCCACTTCTTCTCCTGCTCCGAGTTGCTGCGCAAAGGATAATTGGGTGCAAAGTCCGGGGGCATTTCCAAAGATATGGGAATCCTTGCAATTGGTGTTCTACTCGGGCTTTCCTTCGAAAACCACCCAAAAGCGGTCCAACTTGAGATCGCCGTTCTTATCAGAAGGCGAAATTGATTGCGAGCGCTGCTCAAGTGGTGGGCTGGGAATGAGAGGATGAGCTGGGTCGATGCGCACTGACGCATCCAGCCGGCAGGGCCGTGGCCAAAACCCATGGGAGCCGAAGGGGCGCTCTTGCCCCGGTTTTTTCTCGGGCGCAACCCGTTTGAGAGGAGCTCAAGTGGATTTTTTTTCAATGGGGACCTCCCCCTCTGTGTGAACCCGGCAAGAATGAGACTCTCCGTCAAGGCAAGGTTGCTCCAAGCCTCAAGACAAGATTTGCGGGGTGGGTCCATCGCGTGTCTCCTTTTCCAGGGGCCAAGGTCCTACTCTGAGTGTTTCTTGTGACGCCGGCCTCGAATGGGCGGCCTGTTTGCCTCATGGGGTCGTCCCGGAGTGAAAACGGCAGGGTCGGGTTAGTTGGTTGAACTCCCCATGCTTGACACCCATTTGTTTGCATTTTCGTAGTTGTACCCGGCCAACCGTTTCGCATTTGGGAGTTTGGGCGTTCTTGAGGCGTCGACGACAACGGTACCCAGTGCTTCGAGGCAACCCACTATAGTGGGTAACCTTTGGTTAGCTTTACCTTAGGGTTTGCATGGCTCTTGGGTACTGTTGCTATACCAGCCGAAAATACTCCTTCAAAACCCCGGAAGGTTTCTTGCTGTGACGAAGTTGGGAAGCCCCAAGAAGCCCCAAAGAAGCCTCCAAGAACCCCAATGAGCTTTGCCCCGCAGGCACCAAAGCTTTGATCGTCTTGGAGTCGGAGGACCTCATCGTCCCCACCTACTCCGTGAGGAGTCTCGTCTTCGCCGAGCAGAGCCGCAGGCGGAAAGTCGCTGTCAGCGGATTGCGGGCCAAGACTGAATCTGGGTGCTTTCAATAAACATCAAGCCCCTTGAGTCCAGGCTTTGAATCCTTTCATAAAACCAGGAGTCCAATGGTTTAAGCTTGAATAAACATAAGCCCATTAAATCCTTTCACGTATTTGTTTAAGCTTATGTTTGGCTCCAAAACCCTTTGAATCCTTGTCTCATGTTTAGTTCTTGGAAGATTCCGAAACAGCTCGTTTGAGCCCATGAGCAGCTACGATGGCGAGCGTACCTGTCCACTTGCTGAAGGAATTGTGGGTGAAGGTGACTGGGTGGGAAAAAAGAACCTGTTTGTGGGATTTAGAGGAACATGAAAAGGCAAACCAGCATTTGGGGAGTCCCTACAAAAGGACACAAACCCAACATAGTATAGCATGCCACATATTAATGAGTGCAGATGGGACCCCACTCCAGGTGGTGCTTGAAAGGACCAGCATGAAGCCAAGTACACCCAGTTGCAAGCCGAGGAATTGGCCAGCCAAAACAACCCAGGGTTCCCCCCCAACAACAAAGAAACCATGATCCATGTCGCCATTGGTTCCTTTCTGTTGGGGTTGATCAATATTCCCGTCCCCCAAATTGGGTAGCTCTTCCGATGTAATGATTGACATATCATCTTTCTGCGTGGTTTTCTCGAATGGTCATCCCATGGCCGGACCTTTTGATCCCCATGTGCTGGATGAGTCTGGCCACCTCCGTCCGGACTCGCTTGGCTCGCCAGGGCCAAGGCTGGCAAAGCTCCCTCGGACGCTTGGATGCGGCGGGCGTCCGGGCGGCCGTTGCAAAGAGGGTACTGGATTTACCGCGAGCTAGATATTGTGAGGGAACACAGGCCGCATTGAATTTCTTGGTTGGGTTGTCAAAGTCAGAAACAGGTTTCTTTGGTTGGCTGGCTGGCTGGCTGGCGGGCTGCCTATTGTTCTTGGGCTGGGAGAAGCTTGTGGATAGGAAGGGCTTGCGGGAGGCTGCTTTGTTGGGATAGATTGCCCGGCTTGGCTTGCTGGCGGAGATACCTGGTCTAGAATCGGGCTTACTAGTATTCGAGTTTGTCGTGCGTGTTTGAAAGTACTTTACTTTGTACGTGTTTTATTTTTGCGCATAATCTGTTGGGAACTTACGCTTGTACAATGTATTTGTTTTGGCGCACAGAGTTAATATGAACACCAAAGGATTCTATTCAGATGCGGGCCGAACAGCAACCCTTGCATTTCTGGCCCTGCACCTCAAGAGAGGTGCCCACTGTGTTGGGCAGAGTCGCACGATGGAGGTAGGTGTTTTTGGCATACTCCGTTTTGGCCTTTGCTCTTTTGGGGTAGACTTAGGATACATTTTACATTTTGCCAGTGACTCAAAGTGAAGCAACCAATACATATATATTCTATAACTGGGCCTAACTCTACAGTTTGACGCACAGCCAGGATACAAAGAGGAGCATAGACAATGATATCAATTCGATCGGAAGAAATAATTTGGCTGGCTTGGTATGTCTTAGCGAATCTAGCATGCTTGTTGTGGGGAAACATTTTACATTTCTGCTTATTGTGGTTAAGTGGTTGAAACCCAACCACTTAACTGCTATAATGTGATTTTTTGCTCCCCTTCCAACGTGAACCAAGCATGGTGCACGGCGATCCGCTGCGCACGGCCCCTTGGAAACTATCGCCGAAATCTGGAGGCAGCTCAACTGGAGCAACCGTTTGGCCTTGTCTTCCGGTCAACCGACGTCTCATGGATTCCACGGCGACGGCCAGTTTCATACTTCAGCCTTTTCTTTGGGAAGGCCAATTTTGTAGACGAATTCCGAAAACGCTCCGTTCTATGGCCCTTGCGGTGCAAACACATTTTGGATGGTAGACCACACAAAAATCCCATGGGGCCGTGCTTGGCCAAAAAGTTCGTGGTCGACGAGTCCCCTCGACGAATTCGCGCGGCGAGTTCGCGGGTGCCTCAGGAAACTGGCCTGGAGCTCTTGTGGGTGGAAGATCAGCCCCACGCAGGCGCGGTGGGCTTCTGGCTTGGGATTTTTTTTTTTTTTTTTTTTTTTTTTTTTTTTTATGTTGTTTTATTAGTTGTTTTTTGCGAGGGAAGCTTAAAAACAACAGAAAAAACGCAACCCGGTTGCCCAGTGGATTCCGCCCGTTTTCGGTCTTTTTCGGGAAGGGTTCCACTTTAAAGTCAACCAGCCAGAAAAAATGATCCCCATTTTTCTCATTGCCACTGGCCATCTGAGTCCAAAAGTGGAACTCGTCTCTAGATGGGGGTGGAGCTTTTTCAAGGTTGGCCCCTCCCTTTAAAACCACCAAAAGAGGGGTACCCTCAAAAAGGAAGACCCATATTATGCGATGGTACCCTGTTTGGGTTGGAAGGGCAACTGGATTGACACGACACCATTCATTTGCTTTAGTGGGGGGTTCCCCAATTTAGAGGCACACCCTTTGCTTTTTGTGTTTGAGTTGTTCCTGAGATCCCGAGTTCCCGTTCCCTCTGCGACGGGTCGCAGAAGCAACCTCTTCACCCTATGAAGCTTCTGGTCGGAACGTTCACGATCAAGGGGCCTGGGGGCGTTTGGTCTCACAAATGAAGAGGGACTTGCATTCTAGGTCCCCCAGTGGCCTTGTACCCTTGTTTTGGGGAGGGTTCCGGGGAAACTTACTGGAGAACCTAGCATTTCTTCACGTGCTTGACAGTTGCTGCGAATAAACGTGGGTTTCGCACCGATTCGGGGTGATTGAACAAATCCCACGCCAAACCCTCAAGAAACCAACCAAAACGGCCTCCACCTGGCCTGGTGGGGGGGTTGAATGGATCTCAGTGTCCGGACACCTCGGTGCGCGGATACCAGGTGTATGACTATGGTGAAACCTACCTGGAGTCTCCATGACCCCTAGAAAATGTTTGGTCATGACCATATTTTTGGGTAATGACCCCCTTTCTCCAGTGTCACGGAGACTCCAGGTAGGCATTTGGGCGTGGCTCAAAATTAATACAGGAGGGGCAAACCGCAGCTTTGGGTCCATGTTTCCTTTTCCACTTGCCAGGGCAACTCATTTTGGAATTCCGGGTGTTTGGAGCCACAGCCATTTGTGCCCCACCCAAGTCTTGGACGAACTCCGCCAGCTGTTTGCAGCCATCCCCCCGCGTCCCGCGCCCCTCGAAGTGCACCATGTGGTGCCGCCTCGGCCTCGTACTGCTGGGTGTTGGGCTCGCTGCAGAGTCGTCGCAGCGCCTTTGGCCGCAGGCGATGGGGTGGTGTTTGTTGGTTTTGTTGTTTTTTTCTGCTTTTGTTTCCCCCGATTTGTTGTTCTCGCCGCCTGGGAAAAAGAGCGTTTTAGGTGCTGTTCAAGCAAGCCCACACGCAACCAACCATTCGGTTGGTGTGCACTTGATACTAATGGGAGCCAAGAATGCGAGTTGTTTGTTCAGGAACTTGGTTTCGGAAGGAAGCAAGGTTTGTAGGTCTGTCTATTTGCCAGTTTGATTTGTTTGTTGTGTTGTGTTGTGTTGGAGTTGGCTTGGTTTGGTTTGGCTTGGTTCGGTTGGTTGGTTGTGTGTTTGTTTCGTTGTTTAGCTCTGTTTTTGTTTGTTTTCTTTGGTGTGTGTGTGTGTGTGTGTTTGTGTGCTTGTGCGTTGTGTTGTGTTGTTTTCTTTTCTGTTCTGTCGTGTTGGTTTGCTTGCCTGCTTGATTGATTGCTTGTGTTTGTTTTTTTTGTTTGTTTGTTTGTTTGTTGTTTGGTTGTTTGTGTTTTTTGTGTTTGCTTGCTTGCTTGATTTGACTTGTGCTTTTGTTTGTTTAATTGTTTTGTTGTGTTGTTTTATGTATGGTGTGTTGTTTGTGGCTGTTTTGTCTGTTTCCTTTTTTCCCGAAAGCATGGCGAAGGGTTCTTCCGCTGGGTTCACTTGAGTTGTTCTCATGAGAGTCATTACAAGGTGTCATTGCAAGGAATCATCATCATGAAGGTCAATGCAATGAGTCATTGCAAGGAGTCATTGCAAGGAGTCATTGCAAGGAGTCATTGCAAGGAGTCATTGCAAGGAGTTATTGCAAGGAGTCAGTGCTAGGAGTCATTGCAAGGAGTCATTGCAAGGAGTCATTGCAAGGAGTCATTGCAAGGAGTCATGCAAGGAGTCATTGCAAGGAGTCATTGCAAGGAGTCATTGCAAGGAGTCATTGCAAGGAGTCATTGCAAGGAGTCATTGCAAGGAGTTGCAAGGAGTCATTGCAAGGAGTCATTGCAAGGAGTCATTGCAAGGAGTCATTGCAAGGAGTCATTGCAAGGAGTCATTGCAAGGAGTCATGAGAGTCATTGCGAGCTGCGCATGGAGTCAAGTGCAAGTTGCAAATGTAAGGAGTCAGTGCAAGTTGCAAGTGCAAAGTCAAGTGCAATTGACTTGCGAGGAGTTAAAATCTCTTCTTAGGGCGGCGCGGGTAGTGCCGACGACACTACACTAAATCGACCCTCTGCGGGGATCGGCGTGGTCGAGGTGCGATTTCTAAAGTTCCCGCGCGACCCTCTGCGGGGATCGGCGTGGTCGAGGTGCAAAAACCCATGGTTTTTTGCGATTTCTGCGCTGCTCGCGCGACCCTCTGCGGGGATCGGCGTGGTCGAGGTGCAAAAACCCATGGTTTTTTGCGATTTCTGCGGTGCTCGACCCTCTGCGGGGATCGGCGTGGTCGAGGTGCAAAAACCGATGGTTTTTTGCGATTTCTAAAGTTCCCGCGCGACCCTCTGCGGGGATCGGCGTGGTCGAGGTGCAAAAACTCGAGGTTTTTTTTCGATTTCTGCGGTGCTCGCGCGACCCCGTGGTCGAGGCGCAAAAACTCGAGGTTTTTTGCGACTTTGGTTGTTCGAACTGGTCCTCGGGAGTTGTCTCGTGGTTCGCGCGCCTGCTCCCGGGCGGGCCGGTCGCGGGTTCGATTCCTCCCTGGTCCGCGGGCGGGCGTCGCAAGACGTAACTTGCATTTTAAAGCAACTTGCGCAGACCAACTTGCACCGACCAGTTTGCGCAGAGCGCCTTGCCTAGAGCAACTTGCGCAGAGCAACTTACGCGAGCAACTTGCACAGAGCAACTTGCACAGAGCAGCTTGCACAGAGCAACTTGCAGGGAGCGCAATTTGCACAACTTGCGCAGAGCAACTTACGCAGAGCAACTTGCACAGAGCAACTTGCACAGAGCAGCTTGCACAGAGCAACTTGCAGGGAGCGCAATTTGCACAGAGCAACTTGCAGGGAGCCACTTGCAGGGACCAACTTGCCGGAGGCGGAGCAACTTGCGCAGAGCAACTTGCACAGTGCAACTTGCGTAGAGCAACTTGCGCAGACCAACTTGCACCGACCAGTTTGCGCAGAGCACCTTGCCTGGTGCTGTCTCGCGCCAACTTGCACATATTGCAACTCGCACAGAGCAACGTGCAGGGAGCCACTTGCAGGGACCAACTTGCCGGAGCAACTTGCGCGGAGCAACTTGCGCAGAGCAACTTAGTGCAACTTGCGTAGAGCAACTTGCGCAGACCAACTTGCACCGACCAGTTTGCGCAGAGCACCTTGCCTGGTGCTGTCTCGCGCCAACTTGCACACACGGCAACTCGCACAGAGCAACTTGCGCAAAGCAACTTGCGCAGAGCAACTTGCGCATGTGCCAGGCCGGGGTTAAACAAGTTTGCCGCACATCGTGGGGAGTTATGCTTTCAGGCCACTCACCCTGTAGGAGTTTGACGCAAGGAGTTCTCATCATGAAAGAAGTTGCGGGGAGCATGGCGCACACGGCTTATTTACGGGCATGGCGCACACGGCTGGTTGTTATGTGGCACCTTGCGGATGATCATCGAGATTTGGCTCAAACAGAAGTCATGGAGCTCGAAGTAGCTAGGCTTCAGGCTGGCGCGGCCCAGCATGGCAAAGCGTGGCTGCAGCAAGAGATGGCGGCCAAAGCCCAACCCCAACTTCGCGCACTCGCCCGACGGCTGGATGTGCGCCAATGGGTCGCAGGCAGCAACGTGACCAAGGCAGACCTAGCTGCCGCTATCGTGGAGAAGCTGTGCCCACAGGCCAGGCCACAGGCCAGGAGTTTTGCTGGTGTTTGTTTTGCTGTGCTGATTGTTGCCAGGAGAGCAGCTCGCGCAGAGCAGCTTGCGCAGAGCAACTTGCAGAGCAACTTCCGCAGCGTAACTCGCGCAGAGCAACTTGCACGGAGCACTTTGCGCAACTTGCGCAGAGCAAGTTGCACAAAGCACTTGTGCAGAGCAACTTGCGCGCAGGGCACGTGCCCAAGCAGCTGTTGCGTGCATATGTGCGTGCATGCGTGCGCGCGGTTGCATTTTTCTGTTGGTTTGTGTGTGTGTGTGTGCGTGTGTATGTGTGTGCGTTTGTGTTTGCGCTTCCTGCGGGTCTGTGCGTGCGTGCGTGAATGAGGAGCGAACTGTAATACTTGTTTTTTTTGTCTGGCAAATCATGTTCTTTTTTCTGGCAAATGGGTGTGGGTGCGAGGACAGGTGCTGATGGCCAACATGGTCCAGCTGGTGGCACGAGCTCTGGTTCCTCGCAGTTTCCTCAACCTCCACGCGGAAGCCAAGGGCAGTCTGCGACTGCGCGCAGCACAGACGGATTGCGATCTCCTTGTGATCGGCAGCCACCTCTTTCTCTACGCAGCGGAAGCCCGAAGTCTGACTTGCATGCGGCACTACGTAGAAGTAGCACACGTAGTCCTCGGGAGTTGTCTCCTTTTTTTGTGTGTTTTTTGCTTGCGAATTTGTCTTTGGCAATTGTCTCGTGGTTTGCGCGGCTGCTCTCCGATGTCGCGCGGTCGCGGGTGCGATCCCCGCCTGGTCCGCGGCAGCTCTGGCTGCACGCAGTTCCAGCTGAAAGTCGCAAATTTTAAGTGCAAAAGTAGTACGCGGAGTACATTCCCGCACCTCCAGCTCCAAAATCACAAGAGTAGTACGCGGAGTACATTCCCGCAGCTCCAGCTGCGCCGAGCAACTTGCGCCGAGCAACTTGCG